TCCGAGTGGCGAGGGATTACTTCCTGCTGCCTTGCAGTTCGCACTTGGTTGTGCAAAGGCTAAAACTGAAATAAAATAAAAAACGCCGAGTGACGCTGGGGACGTCTCACGTATCAAACACCAAAGGAAATCCATGATCATGATTATGTCTGGATCCGGCTTATTCTTTCCAAGGAGCCAGCCGCAGTACAGTATACATAGATTATCAGCCAATCAGTTACATGACGTGAAGCATAGATTTCCAATGAATCTCTTTATTTCATGTTTCCCTTCAACATTTATCTAAAACTCTGAATAATGCTATATTTATGATGTAAATAAAACTGTCACATTTAAGCTTGTTGTTCAGTGAATTTCGAATCGATCTTTCTTGCTATCTAAATTATCTTATTGAAAACCGTCATCATATTTCAAAAAAACTTCTAAACGATGAATTTCATAAGAATCAGGGTTAATCGAGTTAAACTGAACTAGGAGAATGAAAAAGTTTCGGATCGCTTACTTCTGGCGGTTTCGCGCCGGCCGGCAGAGTGGAGCAGCGGGAATTGGGAGGAGTTTTGCGGGGCGAATAGCCGGGATTGAGCGGATCATCGAACCCGCTCTGAGGATCGAATTCGTCGAGACCGACTCGAAGATGCGGACCGGTGCCATCCATGACCGACTGACCGTGAGCAGCATTGGCGCGATTATACAACTGGAGTAGACAGTCGACAATCTGTGGCACATTTATGGTTCGATCGAAGGGATCGGTGTGCGGGCCCTCAATCGGTTGGGAATGTCCTATGAGTTTCAGGCTCTCGGCTATAATCGATATGCTTAGAGCATCCACTGAAGATAGTTACAAAATCGGGGTAGAATGTCATCAAAACGATAAGAAGATAAGATGTGTTCATTATTTATAACGATTTATATCATGAGGGAATTTTGCGCTCTCTCTAATATAAGTGATCCATCCTGTCAATGCATTAATCTTCATGTGTAATCAAAGATTCCAATTTCAAGCGCCGAACTTCTTCACATAGGCTCCCACAGTTGGTCACATAACTGAAATGCGGGGTAAAACCTACAAATTCATCCAGGAATGAGATCAGGCTTCCTTCTCAGTTGAATTGGCGAGCTTTCATGGATACGATCGAAATTACTCTCAACCGTTCGAGAACGCGCAACACCACAAAACTCATCAGTTGTGAAGGTAACCGATTCTTCGTCTCAGTCTAGCAAAGGCAGATAGGCAGACAGTGTGTGTGGGTGGGTGGGTACGGATGTGCGGGGGTATTTTCTGACAGAGCGATGCATTTATCGCTGGAGTAGTTAAATTGAGACTGGAATCAGCTAACTGTTTACCTTGGAGATGGAGTGGACAACGAAGGGAAAAACAGTGCGATATGGTGGAGGTATAATCTTTTACGCCATCTTATTAGGGAGGCAACTCATTGAGGATTTTGTCGTTGTGATGGTGGTGGTGGTGGTGGTGGTAGTGGTGATGGTGGTGGTGGTGGTGGTGGTGGTGGTAGTGGTGATGTTGGTGGTGATG